GGGGTTGTTGTGTGGGTGTTTCAAGGGCGCCTGTGTGGCTGCCTTCCTTCCTGGGTCTGTTGTCGCGCACGCTGGGAGCTCGCGCGCAGGCTGAAAGCTCCCGCGCTTGCCGCCGGGTGATCGCAGGCGGGCAGGCAGGCAGCTGAAAAAAACCCCCTCTGGGGTCTTTGGGGCCTTCCTGGTCTGTTGTCGCGCAGGCCGGGAGCTCGCGTGCACGCCGCCGGGTGATCGCAGGCAGGCAGGCAGGCAGCTCCCCCATGTCAAACACCTTGGAAGAGAAATGTGTTGAATCCATTCAGGACAGCGAGGCAGGCACAACAGCAGTTAGAGTCACTCGGAGAGAGGAGTCCAGAGCTGCTCCGGAAGGTGGCACGTGCATTCAGAGTGAGGGCTCTTCAAGGCGGATCCGTCATCCTGTTTTTAAGTTTTTCTTTTAAATTTAAACCTGGGCTGTATTTTCTGATCTCTCTTCGCAGTGCCGGCCGTGCGTGAATCTGCACCCGGTTGGCTTGCATGATGTTCCGCACAGAGCCCAGTTAGTCTGCTCCTCCTGTGGTCCGGCAGGTGCCCTGCCTGCTGTCCCATGCAGGACCAGGGTTGCTGATGCTCCTCTCCATCGACAACACACCACCCCTGTGATCTGGGTGACGTGGGGCTAGAGCTCACACGGTCCCCACGCCCCCCACCCCCCACCACGTGGGTCGCCTTCTTCCCCGTCGCTCACCGGCCCCTTCTGCTTCTCCAGGAGCAGTACGTGTTCATCCACGATGCCATCCTGGAAGCCTGTCTCTGTGGGGACACCTCCATCCCTGCCTCCCAGGTCAGGTCGCTGTACTACGACATGAACAAGCTGGACCCACAGACAAACTCCAGCCAGATCAAAGAGGAGTTCCGGGTGAGTCCTGCCGAGGACAGGCACAGCCGTGACCTCCATCTCGGCCAGCTCTTGAGCCTCGCGCCCACACCGGTCTCCTCGGCCTCGGAACGAGTGACATTTGGGCCTGGCTGTCACTGTCCTATGGCTGTTGCTGTCATGTAGGATCTTTTGTGGTTTCCATGGCTGCGCTGCAACATGAGCATCTTCCCCAAAGTGTGCAGACGGCACCGCATGTCCCCAGGGCTGGCGGCAGAATTCCTGGGTGCCAAGTGCTAGTCTAGCAGATCCATCTGCACCCCACACAGACTCCGAGGCTCCCCACCTCCCTCTGGGGCCCATTCCCAGTGTAACCACCCGGAGCGGCAGCTGGGCTACGGATGTGCAAGTTGGGGATTTGTCTGGGGGCTCTTTCTTGGTTGCATTGCCCATGGGCAGATTTTATCAAAAGGCAGCGACTGCAGGTCAGACGCTCCCGCCCCCAGTCGGACCTCGGGACCCGTGGGGGCCCTGGTGACTCTCCAGCCCCTAGGTCTGATGGGCACAGTCTGTGGGCAAATTCCAAGGAGAGAAAAGAAAGTCTCGCCGGGAGCCGGGGGGAGCCAGGGGGAGACCTTCTTGCAGGCAGGCTCAGGAAGCTCCTACCTGCCTCACGCTGACCGTGAGGCGGATGTGCCGTGAGCCCTTTGGCTCCCAGTGTGCCTTCTTAAAATGTTACCACTGTGCTGTGTTTTATACACTACGGTAGGCCCCTTATCTGAGACTGCAGTGATGGCCTGGAAAGATTGGATGGAAATTCGAGAAAGAACTTATAAGGTGTTTTTCAAGTGCTCGTGTTCAGCATCACATGGGAGCTGTCCCCGTGTGCCTGACCGGGCACATTATGAGGCCTCCTGCATGTGTTCATGTCATCGAGCCAGACACG